GGGGGGATTTTGAATGGTACTAGCTGAGTGCATCCACTGAGCATCATCCAAGTGGCCTTTGTTAATTACTTCACTCACCAAAGAAACTTCAACATCGAACTGAAAGGTCCCATCACCGTCCTCTCAGACCCAGGCCATACATGGAGGTTCATGCGTGTTTATACGTAGGTCATAACTTGCAAGCTTTTTTTCTGGTACTTCTAAACACCCGCTCACAAGTTCCCATGAACCTCCAGGTAGGACCTTCTGGGAGAAAAAACCCACTGAACCCTACCAACCCCCACTAAACCCCACGAAAACCCACATAAAAAACCGCACCAAACCCTACCCAAACCCTACAAAAACCGCCATCAGAACCCCACCGGTTTAGGGTTTAGGGTTTCGGGTTTAGGGCACCAATCAGCGGAGCCGTGGTGCTTGAAGGCCCCCTTGATCACGGCCGCGCCAATCATCGCCAGAAAGCCCGCCACGACCGGATAGGGAAGGTAGCGAAGCGCCGCCATGACCCGGAGCTTTCCCAGTACCTTATCTTGGCTGCACGTAGCAGGGTAGCTATACATTGAGTTTTAGCTGCCTTATTAAGAAAAACCCAATAAACCCAAAAAGGCTAAGGATCTAAAGTTACGGTAAAGCACCACGGAGTTATGAGGACCGACATGAACTCTTGGGGTTTAGGGGTTAGGGTTTAGGGTTTAGGGGTTTGGAGGTTTGGAGGTTTGGGGGTTTGGGGGTTTGGGGGTTTAGGGGTTTAGGAGTTTAGGGGTTTAGGGGTTTAGGGGTTTGGGGGTCATACAGTATTACCTTAACAGGAATTATAGTAGCAGAGGGTACATTACCCCGATATTAGGGGCTCATTTGGTCCCCAAGGTACGAAGAAAAGAAGGCCCAACACGAGGGCGTCCACGTGAAGCCCCACAAAGGCCGTTGCCTCATTTACGTTGTGACGGTGTGAGATCGACCGCTGCCCTGCCTGAAGAAAGAGCGTGAAGGTAATGTCTGGGCAGGTGATCAGGAATGGGCAGTGTGACATGAGGTTGTGGACCAGATTTGAGAAGCCCGCCGAGAAGATGCTGGCTGAGCACAGGACGGCCACGGACGGACACTGGGGTGACCGGTGAAAGCCAATGGGCTCCAGAAGGTGCGCATAGGAGATGCAGGATGCCAGGCTGATGAGCGTTATGGGGCTGGCGGTGAGGAACCCGGTGAGCAGCCTGGAACCCCAGTTGCCCTCAGGCTCCTTCGCCATCGGAAACCGGTGGAAAATGGGCCCCCCCGCCTGGAGAGGGCGATGGCTCAACTTCAACCAGAGATGGCTGCATTCACGACCAATGAGATGCATGAGATGCTACATCTTCACTCTGCCCTCGGAAGCAAATCCTAAACCCCAACCCTAAACCCTAAACCCCGACCCTCAACCTTAAACCCTTTAATCTTCTTATGTTTATGAAGGGGTCAAGGCCAAACACCAACACATAACACACCGTGACTACAATCTACCAAAGGAATACCGCCCGAAGACCCTGTGCTTGCCAATGCACGTTTCGGGGGAAAGGGCTCTCGTTCTGTGGTTCTGGAGTTTAGGTTTCGAGTCGGTTTGAGCGTCAGGGCAGGACATGTCATACGTGAATTACCCAGTGTTGCTGCGTGCCGTGTCCAAACAGCAACCACAAACCGAATAAAGACAGGTCTGCATGGCCACTATAAAAGAATCATATTGTGCATCACATTCTACCGCCAGAAGATACCTTAAGCTTCCCTCCCCCCAGTGTCCTGCTCGGCGATATCAGAGCACCGGTCAGGTGTAAGGCTTTCATTTGCCGCCCCGATACGATATACGCTTGCACATGCGACCTCGGTAGCTTCGAAACAAGCGGTTGTCCACGGCTTTCTAGGTTTTAGCACATCGGGTTTCGGGTTTAGGGTTCAGGGCTTAGGGTTTTAGGGTTTAGGGTTTAGGGTCCAGGGTTTAGGGTTTAGGGTTTAGTGTTTGGTGTTTAGGGTTTAGGGTTTAGGGTTCAGGGTTTAGGGTTTAGGGTGCCAGCCGAGGCCTTCCGAAGCACATTATCCTCCTGTGTTCTCGAATGGTGAAGCGACAGCACCGTGCTTTCGTTTGAGCGGGGTTTAGGGTTTAGGGTTTAGGGTTTAGGCTTTAGGGACACCCTAAACCCCAAACCCAAGACTTGACACGCAAGCCGATGAACTGAGTGTCTGAGCTCCTTCATATAAATTGGCAACCACGCAGCCACATTAAGATTTTGGTCCCTTTTTTGGGGCTCCTTTTGTTGGTACGGAGGTCTCATAAAGGGTACCCACAAAAGGCCCCACATAGTTAGTTGAGACCCTTCTGCGTAGAGCTGGAGGGTGTGCCTGTGCAGTAGGTTTTTTTTTCAAACAGGACTAGGGTTCAATTTAGGGGTTAGGATACCCTAAACCCTAAACACTCGAGTTGAAGTTTCGTGGGTACGTATAAGTGGGCTTACAAGGTACCCTTAAACAAGGTTACGGCCAGCAACTATAGTTGCCCTACTTGAACCACTGCGTATATATAAGCAGCCATGAACCTCTAGGTAAATCCTCACCAGCGATATCTGGGACCCCCAATAAATTAGTAGGATTCCCTTCTAATAAGGACCCCAACAAGGTACCCCCAATATCGGAAACCCATCTGAGACCTGGGCAGACGCGCCAAGGTGGAACTCCAGCACGGCCAAAGGCGTGAAGCCCGCAAACTAAATCATGCCGAGCGTTGGGTATACTTTGTACCTAAAGGATCTGAGAAAACTCATCCGTACCCCGAAAAACCGGGTAGACATCGTTGTGTAAGACTTGTGCTCTTAAGGTATGAGGTTCTTCTACGTGCACCACAACAGCCCAGAATTTTTGCCTTCTACGACCAGAGATACCAGCCGAGGGGGATTCCTCATCCTGGCCGTGAGGTCCTGCCTCCACGAAAGACGAAAGTGGCTCAACCACCTCCTAATTCGGGAGAAGCTGCGCGCTTTTTCTTAAACAAAAAACCCTAAACCCTAAACCCTCAGCCCTCCTCCACAGTCCCTTGAACTCTTGCTGGGGATCTTTGTCAGCGATGTGCCCAAGCTCCGATTCGCGGTGGTGCTTTGCCCCGCGCTTGTCCAGTCACCGCGGGCAATATACCTGGCTGTGGCCACTTTGATCACACCAGACAAGGGCGGGGGCATCGACATAGCTTGGTGATGCCTGGTGGTGTTTTGGCTCCAGTGGCAACTCCAGAGAAGTAGAAGGCTCGGTAAACCCTAAACCCTAAACCCTAAATCCTAAAGCCTAAACCCTAAATGCAGCCCCCCTTTTCCCTCTTCTTGTCTCGCTGTCCTCGGTCTGTGGCGTCCGAGGCCAGAGGGTTGCAGGGGGATAGAAAACTCGTGACCAGAGAAAGTCCGCCGACCCACGAAGGCATTAGAAGGCCTCTGTAGTTTAGGGTTTAGGGTTTAGGGTTGAGGGTTTAGGGTTTAGGGTTTAGGGCTCAGGGCTTAGGGTTTAGGGCTTAGGGCTTCGGGTTTAGGGTTTAGGGTTAAGGGGTTTCCGAAATTAGGGGTCCCTTATTGGGGTCCTTTTTGGAAGGGGATCCTACCGCGTCGGGGACCGCTACCCTGCAACACTGCGTGTATTGAGGCAGGGGGTGAGACTGGGTCCTTCGCTACCGGAGAATTCTCTTTCAAAGTCAGAGAAGCCCATCAAGTGTTCTAGAAGAACCTCCGGTCTTGCCAAAAGTCTGACCGGGCTTGGCAGCCACGCGCAGCACGCTGTTAACTTGATAAGGCGAATCATACTAGTATTCTTAACATAAGGTGAATGGCAATGTAAAAAAGCAACAGCCAAAAACATCGCATAATAACCATGCTAGCACTATTTATGTACGAGTTAATACTGTTGACATGATTAACAGACATTCATGCTCTAACGATGCACTTGGACCTCCTAGCAGAGCTTCAGACTTCTTGGACAAACCCTAAACCCTAAACTGTAAACTGTAAACTGTAAACTGGGAAGGCCGCTCTGCCGACTGCCCACTGTACACACGACCTGACTTCTGGCGCACCTCCGTACATTCAATCACTACCCAGACCCCCTGGGAGGATCCGGAAAGCAGGATCCCCTCTAAGGGTTCCTAAGAATGAAACCAATAGTAGTAAATAGGGTACTACTTGGGCCCCAAAAAGATCCCCGTAAGGGCTCCTAAGAATGACCCAATCGTAGTGTAGGGTACGATTTGGGGGGCTCCACTTTTTGCATCCTCCCAAGGAGTCTGGGTACTTCGAAACCTACGAGGCCAAGCTACTCAAGCTCGCCTGCCTTGTTCCCACCTCAGCCCAGCGTGAGGACCGTACAGAAGCTCTAAAGCCTAAACCTTCCACTCTATCCACCCTCTGGGCTTGATAAACCCTAAACCGAAAACCCAAAATACCCTCTATGCCCTATGATCCCTATTTCAACCCAGAAAAACCCTATAATAAACCCCCAAAATGAACCCTGTCATAAACCCTATTGTGAAGCCTATCACAAGCCCTATCATAAGCCCTATAATGAACCCCAAACACTATGATAAACCCTATGATAAACCTTACAATAAACCATTCAATTAAGCCTACGATAAACCCGAAGCCCAATAATACTTCCGATAATTCCTCCTATAATAAACCCTATAAGAAACCAACCATAAGCCTTATCACCGAAGCATACACCGTTTATAAGCCCTACCCTAAACCCCAAACCCCAAACCCCAAACCCTAAACCCTAAACCCTACACCCTAAACCCTAAACCCCAAGCCCTTGAGGAATGAAGCTCGGAGGACTCCGAGGAGGAGACGTCAACTGCCTGGCCTCGGCTTGCGGCTTCCCTCCATGCCAAGAAGCAGCCGACGAATCCGGGTGCTGTTTGGTTTTTTGGGTGGTTTAGGGTTTAGGGTTTAGGGTTTAGGGTTTAGGGTTTCGGGTTTAGGGTGTGGGGAGATCTACCTTTGATTTTGCACAAGATGTGTACTTGCACGGCTCATGTTTGAGCTTGGGGTTTGGGTGACTTAGTAACGGGCTCGAGTTTCAGTATGGTTTAGGCTTCAGGATTTTAGGGTCAGCAGTTGGGTTGAGGGGTTGGCTGTATTGCTGTGGGACATGGATTTTTCAGCACAGCCGGGCAAACAGATTTAAGAAATCCTGCGGGACCTTGGTGCCCAAACACGAACGCAATCATCGTTCGGGCATGGATGGTCTGGCCATTCGCACGCACTGGTAACACGAAAGTAATCATCATGTGCGCGTGGATGCTCTGGTTGAATGGTAATCATGCTCCAAACCCCGAAACCTGCAGATCAACCCACGAGCGTCGACGCGCCGTGTTCCAACTACCCATAGGTGTGTTGCAAGATGTTGCAAGGCTGCCAGGTTAGGGTTTAGGGTTTAGGGTTTCGGGGTAGTCTTCCAGGCAGTCTTTGGAGTCCAAGGCTTCGGCGTGGACATCTGTTGTCCGGCAAAAGCGTTGACAGGATACTGCCTGCCATTCAAACAAGTGCCATGCCATGGCAAGACATGTGAAGTCGTCGTTCGGCACCCAGCACACACTGGATATGTGTGTAATTACCAGCGTATGTTATACATGACTGTACGTATATTTATATATATATATATAATATTTTGGATAGTATATTGTGCATGTACATATACATATACGTACACATCCTCATCTACATACTCATGTGAATACACATGCGCATAAACATGCATAAGCTTTGGAATTGGGGGTTAAAAAAAATAATGAGCCCCTACCATAGACTCCCAAATGGTAGGCTTCCCTTATGCGAAGGACCCATTAAGGTACCCCTAAACCCTAACCCTAAACCCGAAACCCCAAACCCTAAACCCTAGACCCTAAACCCGAAACCCCAAACCCTAAACCCTAAACCCCTATCATCATCAGCGGAGTTCCCCACCCTGACTGCTGGAGATCGAGCGCTCCGACGGTGGACTCGGAGGCCAGAGGCACCTTTCGCAGTGGGTTTAGGGTTTAGGGTTTAGGGTTTAGGGTTTGGGGTTTAGGGTTTAGGGTTTAGGGTTTAGGGTTTAGGGTTTGGGGCAACAGATGGGGCTTGTAGGGTGCTTTTTATAGCGCTTTATGTGAGGCTTATAGGGTCTATAGGGGTTTAATAGGGTTTACTGGGGTTTATAGGACTTCTAGGGCTAGGGCTTTGTAGGGAAGAGGCCTGAACCCTGAACCCT